TAACATTTAAAAAAAAAAAAAAAAAATATTTATAAATTATATTTATTTATTTAATTTTAACATTATTAGAATATTTCGAATGGAAACCAATGATTAATTTCAACTATTAGGAAAACTTACTACAGCAAGCTAAATAATAAATAACCTAAAAATCAAACCTAAATCAATACTTGATATAACCTTAATAATTTAATTAAAAAATTCCCTTCGACACATTGAAAAATAATACATTTAAATGAAATAATTAAGCAGTTAACATTAAAATAATTCTAATGCAGATATATATATATTTTTTTACTTCTTATATCTGGCTGTGCAGGTTTCATAATAGAATAATTCATGAGAAAGAAAAAAAAAATCTTATTTGTATTTATCTGGTATGTTTATCATCTCACTCTGTTAAGACATTGTAGCTTTTGGGAGTCATCCGGTCCCAAACATCTGTAATCTTTTATTACTAAAATTTATACATTCCGTAAGGTGAATTCCCAAAATAAAATTTAAAATATATTTAATGTATAAATTTTTTAATGCGTTAACATGTTGAAAGTGTTTTTTAATACTTACTTACAAATGGATCCTTTTTTTTTTGCATGTAAATTTTGTATTGTTTTCAACCCGCAATTACTAAAAACTATTGAAAATGGATAGGTGAATTGCTAATATAATTTTTGTTTTTACGGATCTTAGAAAAAATAAATGTAAATAAACTAAAAGACCATTCTTCCCTTATTGTTTTAAACTTATTTTTTTATTATTATTTTAAGTATTTAAATTAATTTATATTCTGTAGATACTAAACAGCGATTTTCAACCTTTTCCAATCATGTATCCACTAAGTCTTTTTGTGTGTAGTTTTGTAGTACTAACCGATTATTTTTGAGTATCTTGGTGGTACGTGTACTACCGGTTGAGAATTGCTTCTGTGGAGTATCTATGTAAAAGTCCTATTACAGAAGAGTAAACAGGTTCCTGTGATAGTTCTCGTGTTTACCGAGGCCTCAAAAATGTATAGAGATTATTTGTTCAGAGATTTAAAAATATATATAATTACTAAAGGCTTGGCCTCACTTGATTTCTGAGAAACACAGAAATAGACCTTTAATCTAATAAACCTTATATTAAATAAATTATATTTCTTATATTTTTAATTCGGCAATAATTTATATTGGAATTTTAATTATAAATATGTGATTATTTTAAATAAATCTCTAGGCCTGTTTATATAATATAACTTAAATAAATCTAGCAGAGAATTTTCTATAAACATCATAAGTTTAGTTATAGCATATAGGCCTAGGCCTATATTATTAAAACTTACAGTGAAACAATTGAGAGAGTTGCAATGTTAATTATTGTATCTTCAACACAAGTATTTATTGAATAAGTTATTATTATACTTTTTTTTTAATATGAATATTGTCTTTTTTATTTCCATAGACTTAATTTCAAAATAAGGGCTACACATATAGCTTTAATGACAGAGCTTATATACGTAAAATATTGTATTTTCTTCAGTCAGGGCTTTCGAAAGCTTGATATGAATCTCTGCGAACCCCTTTTATCTTTTTTGAACAAATGAAATGCTTAGGATGTTTTTTTTTTATTAATAAAAAGCAGTCTTAAATATTCTGTTTTTAGTAAAATTGAAATTAAATCTATTAATTAAAGGTAGGAATCATTACGGGCTAACACCACTAAGTTTTCTGCTAGGGAAAAAATCCCTAGCTTATCCCTTTCAATGGTTCTGTCTTCAGTAAACCTCATATATAAAGTAAGTATACTATAATTTTATTATAAACTTTTTACTAAAAGAAATATAAAATACATCTTAAATGAAACAGAATCCAATAAATCCTGTTTTATTCAATTTTTTTTCATTGTTTCTTCCAGGAAGAGTGATTTAAAAAATATTTCCAATGGAATAGAATCTAAAGAAACTTTTCTCACAATTACTTACTGAATAAATTAATTATTATCTAAATTTATTCTACTTTTTCTATATAAAATATTGTTTTTTTTCTTTTCTTTAGCGCTCATTCAAATATAAGAACTATAATTACAATGATAACGCTTTCAGTAAAAGAAATTAAAAGATATCTCTAATAAAACAAGATCTAAAGAAAATTTAGAACCTGTTTTCTAAGATATCTTTTAAATTACTCAACTGATATTCTTTAAATACATTATCTATCCGAATAACTGACAGTTTTCCTATATGTCACCTAGATTTATTTAGTTATCGCTTAGCTATTTTTTATTTTTTAAAGATTTTCGTCAATTAACTCTATTTGTNACGGATCTTAGAAAAAATAAATGTAAATAAACTAAAAGACCATTCTTCCCTTATTGTTTTAAACTTATTTTTTTATTATTATTTTAAGTATTTAAATTAATTTATATTCTGTAGATACTAAACAGCGATTTTCAACCTTTTCCAATCATGTATCCACTAAGTCTTTTTGTGTGTAGTTTTGTAGTACTAACCGATTATTTTTGAGTATCTTGGTGGTACGTGTACTACCGGTTGAGAATTGCTTCTGTGGAGTATCTATGTAAAAGTCCTATTACAGAAGAGTAAACAGGTTCCTGTGATAGTTCTCGTGTTTACCGAGGCCTCAAAAATGTATAGAGATTATTTGTTCAGAGATTTAAAAATATATATAATTACTAAAGGCTTGGCCTCACTTGATTTCTGAGAAACACAGAAATAGACCTTTAATCTAATAAACCTTATATTAAATAAATTATATTTCTTATATTTTTAATTCGGCAATAATTTATATTGGAATTTTAATTATAAATATGTGATTATTTTAAATAAATCTCTAGGCCTGTTTATATAATATAACTTAAATAAATCTAGCAGAGAATTTTCTATAAACATCATAAGTTTAGTTATAGCATATAGGCCTAGGCCTATATTATTAAAACTTACAGTGAAACAATTGAGAGAGTTGCAATGTTAATTATTGTATCTTCAACACAAGTATTTATTGAATAAGTTATTATTATACTTT